CCACAAATCTGCCTTTATGGAAGAGTGACAAGAAGAAGCCATTGTTGGAGGAAAGCCATAAGAAGTCCCGTTTGCAGTTTGTGAGAAGCCATGTGGGGGGCACAGAAAACATGAGGAAGAAGGGGCTCTGATCAGAGGAGACCAACATGGGACTTTACGGCCTAAAAGCAAAACGCTATGTGTGGGGGAAAACTAACACTGCCCATCCCCCTGAACACACCATCCCCACCGTGAAACATGGTGGTGGCAGCATCATGTGGTGGGGATGTTTTTCTTCAGCAGGGACAGGGAAGCTGGTCAGAGTTGATGGGAAGATGGATGGAGCCAAATACAGGGCAATCTTAGAAGAAAACCTGTTAGAGTCTGCAGAAGACTTGAGACCGGGGCGGAGGTTCCCCTTCCAGCAGGACAACGACCCGAAACATCCAGCCAGACCTACAATGGAATGGTTCCGATCAAAGCATCTTCATGTGTTAGAATGGCCCAGTCACAGTCCAGACCCAAATCCAATGGAGAATCTGTGGCCAGACCTGAAAACTGCTGTTCCCAGACGCCCTCCATCCAATCTGACAGCTTGAGGGATTCTGCAAAGAAGAACGGGCAGAAATGTCCCTCTCTAGATGTGCAAAGAGACATCCCCAAAAAGACTTGCAGCTGGAATTGCAGCCAAAGGGGGTCCTACAAAGTATTGACTCTGGGGGGCCGAATACAAATGCCGCCACACTTTTCACAGATTTATTGGTCACAAATGTTGGAAACCATTTCTCATTTTCCTTCCACTTCACAGTTATGTGTTATAACATTTCCAGGGGTATGAACGCTTTTTAAGGCACTGTATATATATATTGAGTGCTTTATAAAATTCCCTGTACATTGCGTTCACTAAGAAACACATCTAAAGGTTTTTTGAACTTGGCTACACTCCCCGCTGACACCACCAACTGTGGAAGGGAGTTCCACATCCTTACCATTTAAAGATTTGCATATTGTGATTATAGCTTCTCTCAATCACCTACTCTCTAGGGAGGATAGGTTTAATGTTTGTAGTTCCTAATAACTTAGACCCTCCATTCCATATAACTGAGGTCCTTCATCCCCATAACTGAGGTCCTCCAGCCTCCAAAACTGAGGTCCTCTGTCCCCCATAACTGAGATCCTCCAGCCTCCAACACTGAGGTCCTCTGTCCTCCATAACTGAGATCCTCCAGCCTCCAACACTGAGGTCCTCTGTCCCCCATAACTGAGATCCTCCAGCCTCCAAAACTGAGGTCCTCTGTCCCCCATAACTGAGATCCTCCATTCCCATAACTGAGGTCCTCCATCCCCATAAATGAGGTCCTCCATCCCCATAACTGAGGTCCCCCAGCCCACAAAACTAAGGTCCCCCAGCCTACAAAACGGAGGTCCTCTGTCCCCTATAACTGAGGTCCCCCAGCCTCCATAACTGAGGTCTTTCAGCCCCCATAACCTAGATCCTCCATCCCTCACAACTGAGGTCTTCCAGCCCCCATAACTGAGGTACTTCAGCACCTACAGTTGTGACCAAAATTATTCAACCCCCACTGAAATTGAGTGTTTTGGCCAGTTTGACATTGCTTTTGATCATTCAGTCATCTTGCTTACATTTACATTAAAGAGGCACTTGTAGGTCAGACAAATATAACATAACAGTTATAATGAAATAACCACAAATGTCTTTTCTGTGCTCACAGCATTATCAGTTTTATTCAACCCCCAAGTGACATTCAATCTTAGTACTTAGTACAGCATCCTTTTACAGTTATAACAGCTTTTAAACGTGAAGCATAGCTTGACACAAGTGTCTTGCAGCGATCTACGGGTATCTTCGCCCATTCTTCATGGGCAAAGGCCTCCAGTTCAGTCACATTCTTAGGCTTGCGCACTGCAACTGCTTTCTTTAAGTCCCACCAGAGGTTCTCAATCGGATTTAAGTCTGGTGACTGCGATGGCCACTCCAAAATGTTCCAGCCTTTCCTCTGCAACCATGCTCTAGTGGACTTGGAGGTATGCTTGGGATCATTGTCCTGTTGAAAGGTCCAACGTCTCCCAAGCCTCAGGTGTGTGACGGACTGCATCACGTTTCCATCCAATATCTCCTGGTACTGAAGAGAATTCATGGTACCTTGCACACGCTGAAGCTTCCCTGTACCTGCAGAAGCAAAACAGCCCCAAAGCATGATTGACCCTCCACCATGCTTCACAGTAGGCAAGGTGTTCTTTTCATCATAGGCCTTGTTCTTCCTCCTCCAAACATAGCGTTGATCCATGGGCCCAAACAGTTCTAATTTTGTTTCATCAGTCCACAGAACACTATCCCACAACTTTTGTGGTTTGTCCACATGGCTTTTGGCATACTGCAGTCGACTCTTCTTATTCTTTGGAGACAGCAAGGGGGGTACGCCTGGGAGTTCTGGCACGGAGGCCTTCATTACGCAGTGTGCGTCTTATTGTCTGGGCTGAAACTTCTGTACCCACATCTGACAAATCTTTTCTCAGTTCCTCAGCAGTCACACGGGGACTTCTCTCCACTCTACGCTTCAGGTAGCGCACAGCAGTCGAAGTCAGCATCTTCTTTCTGCCACGACCAGGTAGCGTTTCAACAGTGCCCTTTGCCTTGAATTTGCGAATGATGCTTCCTAAGGTGTCTCTTGGTATGTTTAACATCTTTGCAATCTTCTTATAGCCATTGCCCTTCCTGTGAAGAGAAATCACCTCTTCTCTTGTCTTCCTGGACCATTCTCTTGCCTTCACCATGTTTGTAACCACACCAGTAAATGTCTAGAAGGAGCTGAGTATCACAGTCATTTTAAAGCTGCCTAATTGGTGCTTATTATGCTTGATTGCTGCTCGGTGACATCCACAGGTGTTTTCAATACCTGATGGAAAGCACCTGTATGAACCTCTGTTCTTCAGAGTGGTAGTCTTTAAGGGGTTGAATAATGTCATTTTAGTTGCATTTGGGTAGTTACAACGTCCTTGTAGGATTTGATTCTGAATACAATTCCAAATGTACACTATAGTCCCTAAACCCCTTTACAGCATTGGGGGTTGAATAATTTTGGTCACAACTGTATAACTGAAGTCCTTAAGCCCCCATAGCTGAGACCCTACAGTCCCCATGACTGAGACTCTCCATTCCCCATAACTGAGGTTCTCAATACACCCATAATGGAGGTCCTCCTGTCCTCATAACTGAGGACCTTCAGCCTCAATAACTGAGGTCCTCAGTCCCTCATAAGTGAGGTCCCCAGTCCCAATAACTATAGTCTTCCAGCACCCATAACTGAGGTCTTTCAGCCCCCATAACTGAGGTCCTCCAGCCCCAATAACTGAGGTCCTCTGTCCCCCATAACTGAGGTCCATGAGTCCTCGTAACTGAGGTCCTCCAGCCCCCATAACAGAGGCTCTCCATCCCCCATAACTCAGGTCCTTCATCACCCATAACTGAAGTCCTCCAGCCCTCACACTGTTTTGGGTCATTTCTACCAAAGAAATGTAGCAGAATACATTTTGGCCTAAATTTATCAAGAAAAATTTTATAACAAAAATGAAGCAAAAATATTCTTTATTTTTTGTGTTTATATAGCAAAAAAAAACAGTTTTGGTCAAATACCACAAAAAAAAAGCTGTATTTGTGTGAAAAAAGTGCTAGAAATGTCATTTGGGTACAGTGTTGCATGACTGAGTAATCGTCATTCAAAGTGCAAAAGCGCTGAAAGTTAAAACGTGGCCTGGCCTGGACTGGAAGGGGGGAAAGTGTCCGGACTTGAGGTGGTTAAACCTCATCTACCATGTAGTCGCCCACGCGCCTTTATTTGAACCCTGTCTTAGATCCCCGGTCACACCGGTGTGATTGGTCGGGTGATTTGATTGTTTCATATCGCATGACAAGTCGCACCCTATTGTCCGCTATGGAAGCGGTCAAATCAGTGCAACTCCGCCGGAGTCGCACCAATTTTGGAGGTAGCTTGTGCACTGCTTTTTGCGAGTTCAGGTGCGACTTCAATAGACATCTGTCTCCCTCTTTGCACCTGAAGTCACGCTGGTATCTGACTTGAAATTGTGCGAATTCAAGTGATTTCAGTCGGATTCAGTGTGACGGAACACCACTTATACAATGTCTACGTTAGCCCTGGTTCACACCGGTGTGACTTCAGGTGCGACACGGAAGTGGCATCTGATGTATTTCTGTCTTATCCAATGCGATGTGAAGTAACGCGATTTCAAAAATAGTTCCCGCGCTACTTTATTTTCCCGATTTCATTGCGACTTGCATTGACTTCTGTTAAATGAAGCGGCAGCCGCAGTGAAATCGGAGGTGCAAATCACACTGATCTGCGACTCTGAAATGGCTCTATTTCAAGTGGAGTTGCATTCAGTGTGAACCAGGACTCCTGGGGACGGGGTCCAGGGACTAATGCTGAGGATGTACTTTGTGAAGTGCTGGGTAATACGTGTAGCAAAGTATTGGGAACACATTTGTTGGGACAGTCTAATGGTGTCCTTGTGATAAATTGGGGTGTCCAATCCGGCGCTTAGCAACCAAAAAATCACTTCAGCGATGTGAGATCAATGAGAGATGAATTGTCGGGTCGCTGCGCTTCCTGGAGAACATCGCTCACCGCCTTTGTCTTATTAATAAAACTCCAGAGATGGGAAAATGTCCGATTCAGTATTTTCCCAAAATATCTCATTCAGGGAAGGAGAGTTAAAGTGGAGCTCCCAGAAATGGTTCAGTACACAGCCATACACATCACATGATCCATCATACATGCCGAAATATTTACAGTTCTGTTCAGCCAGCGATGTGGTCTTGCTAAGCAGGTGCTGTCATTTTTTTTCCTGCTTCTAAAGCTGAATGTCAGGCGAACTGCAAAATGATAGATCTGGGGGTACAGTAAAAAGAAGTCAGGGGTACAACCAGGGGCAGACTGACCATTTGGAAACTCGGGCACTGCCTGAGGGCCCGGGATCAGTAGGGGGCCCCATGAGATGCCCCTGGTACCTTTTTCATAGGCTTTTTTGAGTTTGGGCAAGGACACAGGGGCCCCATGATTACCTATTGCCCGGGGCCCTATGAGTTGTCAGTCCGCCCCTGGGTACAACTGTCAACACTGTGTGGGAGTCGCTGGCATCAGGGTCCCCATCAGAGTGTCTCCTTTTATCAACTGTCCCCACCAGTGTCCCCTTACACATCAGGTGCCCCCTTCAAACTGGCCCTTTACATCAGGGTCCACATCAGAGTGTCCCTTTTACATTACGGTCTCAATAAGAGTACCCCTTTACATCAGGGTCCCCATCATAGTCCCCCTTTGCTTCAGGATACACATCAAAGTGTCCCCTTACTTCAGCATCTCCATCAGAGTTCCCCTTTACATCAGGGTCCCCATCAGAGTGCCCCCTTACATCAGGATCCCCATCAGAGTGCCCCCTTACATCAGGATCCCCATCAGAGTGCCCCCTTACATCAGGATCCCCATCAGAGTCCCCCTATTCTTCCCACTGACACCAATGATGGGGAACCATTCCTTCCACTGACACCAATGATGGGGCACTATTCCTCCCACTGACACCAATGATGGGGCACTATTCCTCCCACTGACACCAATGATGGGGCACTATTCCTCCCACTGACACCAATGATGGGGCACTATTCCTCCCACTGACACCAATGATGGGGCACTATTCCTCCCACTGACACCAATGATGGGGCACTATTCTTCCCACTGACACCAATGATGGGGAACCATTCCTTCCACTGACACCAATGATGGGGCACTATTCCTCCCACTGACACCAATGATGGGGCACTATTCCTCCCACTGACACCAATGATGGGGCACTAATCCTCCCACTGACACCAATGATGGGGCACTATTCCTCCCCACTGACACCGATGATGGGGCACTATTCCTCCCACTGACACCAATGATGGGGCACTATTCCTCCCACTGACACCAATGATGGGGCACTATTCCTCCCACTGACACCAATGATGGGGCACTATTCTTCCCACTGACACCAATGATGGGGAACCATTCCTTCCACTGACACCAATGATGGGGCACTATTCCTCCCACTGACACCAATGATGAGGCACTATTCCTCCCACTGATACCAATGACGGGGCACTATTCCTCCACTGATACCAATGATGGGGCACTATTCCTCCCACTGACACCAATGATGAGGTACTATTCCTCCCACTGATACCAATGACGGGGCACTATTCCTCCACTGATACCAATGATGGGGCACTATTCCTCCCTCTGACACCAATGATGGGGCACTATTCCTCCCACTGACACCAATGATGAGGCACTATTCCTCCCACTGACACCAATGATGGGGCACTATTCCTCCCACTGACACCAATGATGAGGCACTATTCCTCCCACTGATACCAATGACGGGGCACTATTCCTCCACTGATACCAATGATGGGGCACTATTCCTCCCACTGACACCAATGATGGGGCACTATTCCTCCCACTGACACCAATGGTGGGGCACTATTCCTCCCACTGACACCAATGATGGGGCACTATTCCTCCCACTGACACCAATGATGGGGCACTATTCCTCCCACTGACACCAATGATGGGGCACTATTCCTCCCACTGACACCAATGATGGGGCACTATTCTTCCCACTGACACTAATGGTGGGGCACCATTCCTCCCACTGACACCAATGGTGGGGCACTATTCCTCCCACTGACACCAATGGTGGGGCACCATTCCTCCCACTGACACCAATGATGGGGCACTATTCCTCCCACTGACACCAATGATGGGACACTATTCCTTCCACTGACACCAATGATTGGGCACTATTCCTCCCACTGACACCAATGGTGGGGCACTATTCCTCCCACTGCCACCAATGATGATGGGGCACCATTCCTCCCACTGATACCAATGGTGGGGCACTATTCCTCCCACTGACACCAATGATGGGGCACTATTCCTCCCGCTGATACCAATGATGGGGCACTATTCCTCCCACTGACACCTATGATGGGTCACCATTCCTCCCACTGCCACCAAGGATGGGGCACTATTCCTCCCACTGACACCTATGATGGGGTATTTTTTTACTCCCACTAACTACAAAGCCAGGGGGGTTGTTTTCTGCCAATGACCATGGAGGAATTTTCCATTTTTTTTACTCCCACTAACTACAAAGCCAGGGGGGTTGTTTTCTGCCAATCACAGTGCGGCCCCCCTGAAGTCTGAAGGACAGTAGAGTGGCCCTTTGTGTAGACGGTTGGAGGACCCCAGCACTACGTAGAGTAATGTCAGGTTAGAAGTTCAGTTTCCATCATCTGCTGAGGTTGACTCTACTGAGACTAAAACGGAAAACGCCACAAAATGAAATGTTCGGTGGGAATCTATTTCATCCGATTTTTTTTTTTTCCCCGGCGATGTTTGAAGTACATTTGCTATTTCCGTTCTCGGTGACAGCAGCTCTGAAATCTCATTGTCTTGTCATCCTTCTATCATTTTTTCATCTTCCTTCAAACGCTCCGTCATCCGTCTTCCATCTGTCTCTTCTCACCTTTATCAATGCTGGTAACACGTCAATCACGTGCAGAGCGGGATCCGTGTGCCACTTCATGACTTACAGCGAGGAGCAGATGACAGTCCGGCGAGAGGGATTGCCGACATTTCCGCGACAGATAGACCTTAAATCCAAGTCTCACAACGGCTGTATTTAGAAAAGCAATAACCTGAAACTGCCCCGCTGTTCTGCCACTTAATTAAAATGACAAACTGTGTCGAGAAGTTTATAAGCTGTAAACGTGATCTGCCGGCGCTGCTTTCCCAAACAGGCTAACGTGTTCTTCTCCGAGCAAAAACCCACCGTGCCATGACCAGGGTAGAATATACGCCTTCCAACCTAACCAAGCCTGGTGGGCCAACCCTCCACCATTCCATGCCGTCCACCATTCCATACCCTCCACCATTCCATACCCTCCACCATTCCATACCCTCCACCATACTCTCCACCATTCCATACCCTCCACCATTCCATACCCTCCACCATTCCATACCCTCCACCATTCCATACCCTCTACCATTCCATACCCTCCACCATTCCATACCCCCACCATACTCTCCACCATTCCATACCCTCCACCATTCCATACCCTCCACCACCATTCCATACCCTCCACCATACCCTCCACCATTCCATACCCTCCACCATTCCATACCCTCCACCATACCCTCCACCATTCCATACCCTCCACCATTCCATACCCTCCACCATACCCTCCACCATTCCATACCCTCCACCATACCCTCCACCATTCCATACCCTCCACCATACCCTCCACCATTCCATACCCTCCACCATTCCATACCCTCCACCATACCCTCCACCATTCCATACCGTCCACCATTCCATACCCTCCACCATTCCATACCGTCCACCATTCCATACCCTCCACCATTCCATACCCTCCACCATTCCATACCGTCCACCATTCCATACCCTCCACCATTCCATACCCTCCACCATTCCCATACCCTCCACCATACCCTCCACCATTCCATACCCTCCACCATACCCTACACCATTCCATACCCTCCACCATACCCCCACCATTCCATACCCTCCACCATACCCTCCACCATTCCATACCCTCCACCATTCCATACCGTCCACCATTCCATACCCTCCACCATACCTCCACCATTCCATACCCTCCACCATACTCTCCATCATTCCATACCCTCCACCATACCCTCCACCATTCCATACCCTTCACCATACCCCTCCACCATTCCATACCCTCCACCATACCCTCCACCATTCCATACCCTCCACCATACCCTCCACCATTCCATACCCTCCACCATACTCTCCACCATTCCATACCCTCCACCATTCCATACCCTCCACCATACTCTCCACCATTCCATACCCTCCACCATACCGTCCACCATTCCATACCCTCCACCATACCCTCCACCATACCTCCACCATTCTATACCCTCCACCATTCCATACCCTCCACCATACTCTCCACCATTCCATACCCTCCACCATACCCACCACCATTCCATACCCTCCACCATACCCTCCACCATTCCATCCATCCACCCTCCACCATTCCATACTGTCCACCACCATTCCATACCCTCCACCATTCCATACCCTCCACCATACTCTCCACCATTCCATACCCTCCACCATTCCATACCCTCCACCACACCTCCACCATTCCATACTGTCCACCATTCCATACCCTCCACCATACCTCCACCATTCCATACTGTCCACCATTCCATACCCTCCACCATACCTCCACCATTCCATACCCTCCACCATTCCATACCCTACACCATACCCTCCACCATTCCATACCCTCCACACCCTCCACCATACCCTCCACCATTCCATACCCCCCACCATACCCTCCACCATTCCATACTCTCCACCATACCTCCACCATTCCATACCCTCCACCATACCCTCCACCATTCCATACCCTCCACCAGCCGCAAACCCACCAGCTCAGAGACAATCCTACTTATCTCCAGCCTCAACCCACCAGCTCGGAGACAATCCTACTTATCCCCAGCCACAATCCACCGGCTCGGAGACAATCCTACTTATCCCCAGCCACAACCCACCGGCTCGGAGACAATCCTACTTATCCCCAGCCACAACCCACCGGCTCGGAGACAATCCTACTTATCCCTAGCCGCAACACATCAGCTCGGGGATAACCCTACTTATCCGCAGTGACCACCATTTTACCTATTCCGAGTTAACCGGAATGTACCGAGGTCTCCATACCATTGCTGGGTCCAGAGTCTGTCTCCATACAGAATTCTTTCCTCCTCCAAAGACCAACCACCGCCAAGGCCGCAGTGACAATCCAAACCAAAGCACGAAGGGGAGGGAGGATGGGAAGATTCTTCTTCTTCCAACTTCCCCACTGGACTTTCTGAGGTCAGACCCTCCCAGTGAACCCTCCCCAACATCCCTCATCCAATCAGGTAAGCCATAATCCCAAAACTTCCTACCCTTCTTTTATCTCTATATGTTGTCTCTCTATACTCTCCGGTCATGTCGTCCCTGAGCTTAATTTTTTTTTTTTTTTGTGCTCCGGGCCTACCTTGTCATGTGACCAAACATCTGAAATGCCCATGATTGATTGCTCTTCATAGTGGGCCTGTGGTCGTCTAGGCCACGGGTTCTCAGCCTTTTTGAGACCAGGATACGGTAAATTCTTCCAACACCTTCCAAACAGTAAAAATAAAGTTTATACTGACACAATAAAAGTATGGAAATGCAAAAACGTGATTTAAATGGAAGAATACTCTGGATGGGTTTGGGTATCACTCTGATGGGGGTTGTGGAGCATTGTGGGAGGTTGGGGGCACTATGGAGGGCTGGAGGCTCTGAAGCAGGTTGGGAAGCAATA